CCCCACGAGCGGGCGGCGGGATTTCAGGGGGCCCCGCGAGTGTGACAGAGAAGGGGTGTGCGGGACGGCGAGCGCGTGGGGCTGAGCGTGCGGCTCCCGCCTGTCACTGCCGTGTCGTGGGCAGCCGTGCGTGTACGTGTGTGTGCTGTGACAGGCCCGTGTGCCGGGGACCCCAGACAGAACCAGAGTCAGCGAGAGGAAGGCCGGAGTGAGCTGTATCTGCCTGTCCCGCACCAATGTGGATTTGGGTTTTATGTGTTCAACAAAATATTTAGTGGAGGGCCGGGGATTTGGCTCAGTGGTTCTGCCGCCTGCCTCGAAAGCACAAGGACTCGAGTTTGATCCCCGGTACAAAAAAAATTTTTTTATTAGTTGAACCAAATGAAACAGCCCGTGTTCAGCTGCTCCTTAGCTATCAAAACGGCAATTTCATATGGTCCGGTCTCATCTGAGACGCTAGCTCCGCTCCTTCTGAAATCCCCGCATCTTGGCTTCGTCCCAGGGGCGCGGGCCGGGGGGGGGACTGAGTTTGTTGTCATCCGGAAATGTGGCGGCCAGGTGTCCACGTGCGTGGTGTGCGTGGCACGTGTGGCAGCCACCGGGTCACTGTGAGCGGAGAGCAGGTGTCTGTGGCTCTCTGGCAGAACATGAGCGAGTTCAGTCTACGTGTCCCGCCACGTGTGAGCACATGTGTGCGTGTGTGGGAACACGGTGTGGGGACCCCTCAGGAGGGCTGGGCTACCACCTTGAGCTTGGGAAGGGCCAGGTTTGGGGTAAAAGGACCGAGAAACAGAATTGTAAAAGGAAGAATAATTGCTACTGAGCAATTAAGTCCTCCACCTCAAACCGGGTGACACACGCCTTAGTCCAGGCTGCTCAGGAAGCTGAGGCAGGAGAACCGCAGGTGCGAGGGCAGCAAGGGCTGCACAGTGAGTGCCCTTAACAGGAAATCAAACACGCTCTATCCCACCTCTGTCCTACAGAGGCATAACACGAGCCATGGGCGTGCTTTTAAAAGCTGAAAAATCGAACACAGGTGAGATTAGTTTTAATGATATGTTTGTTATTTAACCCAATGCGTCAGGAGTCTGAAAACGTTCTCTGTGAAACTCCAGATAATAAGTATTTGACAATTTGGGGTCTTAGAATCTCTGATCTCTCTTTTCTCCACTTTGATGTGGCACACAATGTATCCACAGAGGAGAGCGGCTGTGTGCCAATAAAATTTGACTTAAAGGGCCAGGGATGTGGCTCAGTGGTGGCACCTGCCTCACAAGTGCAAGGTCCTGAGTTCGATCCCCAGTACAAAATACATTTTTAAAACTATTATTATGTAACAATCATATATAATTATATATTTTTATATATTATATTTATACATATTATATATAAAATTTTCATGTGTTACAAACTATTATTTTCCTTCAGGCTTTTTTTACCATATGAAAATATAAAAAGCTATTAGCATGCAGGCTGTAGTGGGCCTTACCATTCTGACCTTTGCTAATTATTAAAAATATGATCATTTCAATATATAATCCACACAAAGCTATGAATGAGATCTTTGACATTCTCGGACTCAGGCTTCGCACAGCACTGCCACGCAGATCCTACGTTTCCACAGGAAACACTTCATCCTGGCTTGGGTTTTGTACAATTTATAGGTGAGAAACAGAAGCGCCGTGCGGTTCATTCATTCCACCTCTGTCCAGTAATCGCGCACCAATAACTGGAGTGTCCGTTTTCATTGTTTAAGTAATTAAATGAAAGAAAAAATTCTGTCCCCACTGCGTTCCAAGGGTGGCTTAGCCTCCGATGACCGGGACACCTGTGTGGGTCCTGAAGTCTCACTTAACTCAGCCTGGGAGGCTGCCCCAGTGGGGTAGGAGGCAAGGAGAGGGCCCGAGCCTGAAGCCCAACGCCTCTACTCACTACCTGAGCGACGCTGGGCAGGAGAGTTTGCCTCTCTGGGCCTCAGTTTCCTCATCTATAACAGAAAAGAGCAACAGTACCAATCTGGCAGGGCCGAGGCAGGGCAGCATCTGGCCAGTGGAAGGCACCACACACCCATTGCACAGATGAGACTCCTTCCCTCTCATCCAGCAACGTGGAGAACCAGGCCCCTGGGCAGTCAGTGGAAGGGTTTCCTGTTTTACCATCTGTACGGTGGCTGTGAACACCCTGTCTCCCAGAGCTCCCCTGAAGGGCAAGCTCGTAGGCAAGAGAAAACTGCGGTTCAGTGACTGACCAGATTTCCAGGTTCAAGTCCTAGATCCTCTGTTTAACAAGCGTGGCTCTGGGCAGGCTGCTACGCCTCTGCGTGACTCAGTTGCTCTATCTGTGAAATGGGACGATGACAGTCCTTCCCCGGGAGTACTGTGAGGGTTAAAATAAATCGATTCATACGAGAGGCTCTTGGTACGGGCCATTTTATGTTATCCTTCCAGTCCCTTGCAATGCCAGACAAATCTTGACTTTCTGTGTCACCAAGACGGACAGAGGGAATCCTTCCACTGCGCATAAAGCTAATCAATGGACGGAAGGGATGTTAAAAAACGTGAAAAAAGAATTCGCTATTGGGATGGATAAAATATCGGGCTTTCAGCCTGAACACCTGTTTGCCACAATTACCTCCAGTAATAAAAGCATTTTTCTGGGCCGGGGATTGAGCTCCGCGGTGCCACCTGCCTCACAAGCACAAGGTCCCGAGTTCGATCCCCAGTACAATAAAAGGCGGGGGGGGGGGAAGCTTTCTAGTGTCACCCCGGGGGTGCTCTGTACGGCCCGGGAGCTGACCCAGG